ATATATAAATATATTTTACTAATAAAGTTAATTGAGAACAAACGATGTAAACCTTTAATTGAATATATGGAAACCTTAGGATAAGTAAACGCGTAAGCAGAATTGAATTCCCTATATGTTAATGTGAATGCAATACGAATAATCGATACCTAGATTACGCAGGTAAAACTGTACGCTCGTATTTACACATTTGATCCAGCATTAAACAACGGTGGGAATCGTCGTTAAATATTGGCTGGAAGTTTAGCTTCACGATTATCCAATCCGCGGCGGTAAGTACTCACGATCTGGCTTCGGAGGGCCTTGTGGCGGGAATGGTGAACCTGTTCCAATGCCTGGCCCAGTAGGTCCGCTTGGTCCACTTGGAAATGATGGACCGCTTGGTCTACCACTGGGATATCCGCCTGGTCCACTAGGTCCTTGTGGACGACCACTCGGTGTACTTGGACCTGGGTAGCCCTGCGGTCGCGTGGGTCCTTGAGGCTGGCCATTTGGATATCCTGGAGATGGTCCGCTTGGTCCCGGATAACCACCGGGACCACTAGGTCCTTGAGGCTGGCCATTTGGATATCCCGGAGATGGTCTGCTTGGTCCCGGGTAACCACTGGGACCACCAGGTCCTTGAGGTCTCGTCGAAGGTCCACTAGGACCAGAAGGCCCCTGAGGTCTTCCGGGATAGCCTGTTCCGCTTGGTCCTTGAGGTACTTGAGGTCCTGATGGTCCTGCCGGTGGACCTAAATATGCGGGTCCTGGTCGACCAGATGGACCTTGTGGTCCTGGGCCTCCAGGTCGCCCTGGAAAACCGCTTGGACCTTCTGGACCTGTTGGTCCTTGAGGACCGCTTGGATAACCGCCTGGCCCAGTTGGTCCTGACGGGCCTGAAGGTCCTCCTGGATATCTACCTGGTCCCGACGGGCCTGAAGGTCCTCCTGGATATCTACCTGGTCCCGACGGGCCTGAAGGTCCTCCTGGATATGCACCTGGTCCTGACGGGCCTTGAGGTCTCCCCGGATATCCGCTTGGTTTTGATGGGCCTTGAGGTTCTCCTGGATATTCGCCTGGTCTCGAGGGACCTTGAGGTTTTTCACCAGGACGTTGCGGGCTTCCCGGATAACCACCTGGACCACTTGGACCAGGAGTACTTGGACCACCTGGACCACCAGGAGCGCCTGGACCTCCCGGATATGTACCAGGTCCAGAAGGTCCTGAAGGTCCTTCAGTACCGGGTCTTTGACCAGGTGTTCCCATAATAGTATAATCGTAAAGGTTCTCGTTCAAATAGTAAAAACTTGGTGCGGAGTTGCAATCAAATTGATTCCACCATACACAGACAAAGAATTGCTGATGAAAAATTGTTCCATTTGGACAAAGAAAATCGTAGGTCTTATTATTGGCACATATATGAAAAACTTGGCACTGAGCTTCCACGTCAGCATAATAACCAGGGAATTGTTGTGCATCGCAACGAAAACCAGTTTCTGGAATTTCACTGTATATGGGATAATCGCGACCAGGTTCGCCTGGAATAGCTGAATAATCACCTTCATCATATCTTCCCTCGTCACCATGAGTATATTCCCCAGGTCCTCCATGTTCTCCAGGTCCTACTGGATGGCCAGTACTTGGTCCACCCGGAAATCCTCCTGGTCCTTGTGGACTTGGCCCACTTGGAAATCCTCCTGGTCCTTGTGGAGCTGGCCCACTTGGAAATCCTCCTGGTCCTTGTGGACCTGGCCCACTTGGAAATCTTCCTGGTCCTTGTGGACCTTGTCCAGTTGGAAATCCTGGTCCTTGCGATCCTGGGCCTTGTGGTCCTGGGGCACCAGGATAACCGCTTGGTCCTTGCGGACTTGGGCCACTCGGGTAGCCTCCTGGTCTCTGTCCTCCTGGTTTAGTACTAGGATAACCGCCGATAGATGTTCCACCTGGACCTTGCTGACCTCCAGGTCCTTGAGGGCCACTCGGTCCTGGATATCCACTTGGTCCCTGAGGACTTGGACCACCGCCAGGTCTCTGAGGACCTCCTGGATAGCCAGCGCTTGGTCTTCCACCAGGATATTCACCTCCCGGGCCACCAGGTTTCTGCATTCCACTTGGATAGCCTCCAGGAATCTGACCGCCGGGATATCCTTCGCTTGGTCCTTGTCCACCCGGTCGTGCACTAGGATATCCGGGACTTTCTGGTTGTCCACTTGGATATCCGGAAGGTCTTTGTCCACCTGGAAAACCGCTTGGTGCTTGACCATTAGGTCTGCTACCAGGATATCCAGTACTTGGCCCTGTTGGAAATCCTCCTGGTCGTGCACTCGGCCCGGTCGGTGCACCTGGCCCACCAGATGGATACCCACCTGTTCCTGGACCAGGTCTGCCTGTTGGTTCGCCACTCGGAAATGGAATGGAGGGGCGTCCACTAGGATATCCACCAGAAGGCCCTTGGCTAGATGGAAATCCAGGTTGTTGCCCACCTGGTTGTGTACTGCTTGGACGTCCACCTGGAAATCCTGATGGTCCTGATGGACCAGATGGATAACCGCCCGGTCTTCCTGGTTCTCCCGGTCCTCCAGAAACACCTGGACCAGATGGGTATCCACCGGACGTACCTGGAAATCCTCCTCCTGGTTTTGCGCCAGGGCCTCCTCCTGGACCACCTGGTACAAGCGCATTTGTTGGTCTGGGATAATTATATCCCTCGTCAGCCTATAATGGTAAACATGTAGAAGATATATATTAAATCAAAAAATTAAAGAGTTAATGAAAAATAAAAATAAAATATTTAAAAAAGTGTTATTAGTTGTGCGTACTTTTCAAGAAAAATTATATAAATAATTATGAAATCTACTGAAAAATAAAAAATTATAATATCTACCTTAATTAATCAATTAAGTTAAAATCAAGTTTAAAAAGTACAAATAAAAAAGAGAATCACATTCTTTATACATTTATATAAATTTTATTCTAATAGAAAATTAAAATAGCATTATTGGAAAAAGATTTATTAATTTAAAATTGTATGGGGAGGCATAATTACACATGTTGAAGTTAAATAATATTTTAATAAAAATAAAATTGAGATATTAATGCTATAAATAATATTTTATTAACTCAATATATTGTATTCTCGGTTTTGAATACATTTATTATATTTTAATATCGTGTAACACTTTACCCATCTACTGGAGTCACGATACCCTTGAACGATTAAATATATCAGATTTATAGATTCTGACATCGCGCTAGAATCGTGCTTATAAAAAGATTTAAAGGAGCGTCTTCGTATTCTCGTTTATTGTGATCCTTGTGAAGTTACAATAACACAGTCACGACCGATTAATATCAGAATGCTTAAACTTGCGCAACCAAAAATGTTATTTCGCAACGTGGGAGAAAAAACGAATGAGATATATTGATCGTGAAAAATTAAAATGGCTCGTATATAATTTATACAAATTTTACATTACATTTTTTCGATGAAGGAAAATGAAAACATATACGAAATAGAAAGGAAACAGCTTGAATTCACACACAGATTAAATAAATTAAATATTACGAGTTTTTTATCTAAAAGGTATTCTTATTTTAAGTTTATTAATGACATAATATCTATTTAAGAGCGGAAGCAACTTACCAGAACTGAACGAGCGACAGCCAGCAAGGCTGAAACAGATACAAGCAAGACAGCATTATTTTCAGGCACCTGTATCTTGACAAATTGCATGTTCTTTATCTGACACAGTTATACATAACGACAGCTCACTACAAATCCATCATGGAAAGAATTTTTATTATGACATCAATTATCTCAAACGCTAAAGGCTGTCGACGCCGCTGCCAGTAACCGCTGCAATTCGTCGCAATGACGAGAGGTTGCGTGCAAGTCTCACAGAAGAGAAATGTGTCTTGAAAAATCTCTGACATAACTTCCCGTCTAATTAATTAAGGAGCATTGTCGAGCGCGCTTAGAGTGTAGGCGCGAAGAAGCTGAGTTCTTCGCACGCTTGGCGGTACGTAAATCGCGTCAAAAAGCGTAAATGAAGAGAGACAAATGCAAAGAGAAGGATCGTGCATATAAGAGAGAAAGAGAAAGAGAGAGAGGAGAAGTAAGCAACACGAATGACGGGCTTCAGAAGTGCGTGTTGTGTTCCACGAGATTGTAGAGACTCCTATTTTCGCAATGACACCGTCATGCTGGTCCGCGGATCACGCAAGCTACTACTTGTTAAGCAGATACAAAAGTCTGGTTCTTGGGTATACAAAGAGAGATCCAGATTAGAATCTCGAGCTCTGTAGAAGTTTAGAAAAATGGGATAATATTTTTGAATAAAAAAAAAAAATAATCAAGTCGATTAACATTAAAACATGATAAGAAAGAAAGAATTATTCTTGAGTACATTTTGCCTTGGATATTTTTTGCTTTTCAAGTAAATCCTGGTTATGAATTATAAGACACGCTTTATTAATATATCGCTTAATCTCTTACAACATGTAACAGCACCAAGGATATAATTATTGAAAATAACTTCAATGAGTGATGTAAAATATGCAAGGAAATAGCAAAGTGAATTATAAATATCTTGAGTCTTTCTTGTTATCGCGATGAATATCGTTCATGATAAATAACTATAATTATGAAACGATTTTGAATATTGATACCCGCGGGGCCAATTTGACGTTGATAAATTAAGATTTAATGGAGACTTTACTTCGACGTAGATTAATGTAATTTAGCAAATACGATTGACATGACCTCTCTGCAGCTCAAATAATACCATTGCCATAAGCGGATTATGAGTAATCTAGAAAATCATTTCGTCTCGCGTGCCTTTGTTTTTCCTCATTCAAAATAATTTATGAATCCAAATATATTGAATTATGTGAATTAGCTTTGTGAATTTTTAAAATTATTTTTGATTAATTATTTGAATAATAAAGTATACAATGTGATACAATTATTGTAAAATAAATTAAGTTGGTGGCAACAAAAGTAATTATCTCAATATAATATAATTTATGATCATATTTGTCATTTTTAGAGTCACAAACCTCTCCCCGCAGTTTTTAATCTCTAAAAAATTGCTAATAAAAGTTTTTTTTTGGTACCAATTATGTATAAAAGCATAAATGAAGCAAATATTTCGTTTTTCAACAGTTTCTTTTCAATAATTTTCAATTTTGTTGGATCACAACTGGATCGTCAAACATGATTAAAAGAAGAAGAAATATTTTATAATCATACGCGAACAGGAAAACATTTTTTCATTTGTATATTTTCATTATAAATAATTTTATAGACATTTCTCTTCTATCTTCATTCGTCATTTTCATAACATGCATAATTTGAGCAAAAGCTATTTTAAGCAACAATATTGCCGTACCATTATTCGTACATCTTCCTGTTGCCGGTTGATAGCTTCGGTTTTGGTTACCTCGAAACAATGGGGCGGAGATCAAGATGCAGCCCGAACCTCGCGTGATCTACGAAGATAATCCGAGCACGCGGTACTCGATGCATCGTTCGAGAGGATCTTTGACCGTTACGTGGTTACACTAGCGTTGCACGATCGCGTCAGAGTATTGACGTAACCTGCCCGAAGGGAGCTCCGCGGCGGAAATAGCTTAACCCTTCTTTGACTATTTTTTTCATATCACAAATTTTTCTTATGTAATATTTTCACAAGAAAAATACTACATTTATTGTTAGATACAACAATGTACGTTAAAGTCTCTACTTTAATTATCTTCTTTTAAAAGATGTCAATTTTTATGGATTAGTATGATTTTATATTAAACCGAAAATTTTTCGACAGCGATATTTATCAATTAATTTTAAAAAAATTAGAGAAGTTTGTGTTTTATAGTTTCAAATTAGTTCGTCTTTTTTTGACTTCCAAATGTTTGCCTTTCTCATATATCTTTTCATTTTTAAGATTTATAAGAAAAGGGAAGGCGATAGCAATTGCGTTAACACGGTACGCTGCATACACTTGACCTTTATTTTAAGTGAGGATGATCGTAACCGTAAAGGGTGACCCCGTAATACGTAAAAGTGCGCTGGAACAATACCAGTCAGCGGCGCACTGGCTTATCTCTAATTTGTTTTAATTAGAGGATGTTACGAAAAAATGTTGTAGACCTTGCGCGAAGGTGCTATCGAAATTTAAAACTTGTCTGGACCGTAAACATCGTGATCAAAACCGAGACGTTGAAAGCGTTATGAATTATGAGAATCGTGTGTGTTTCCATTCTGATATTATCCGTCAAAGTAATCGTTTCAAGAAATAAAAAAGCTTTGTTAAAAATGTTTGTATTCGATAGAAATTTTCTTGCATATTCTTGTTATCATTTAATATGAGTTATTAATATAACAATATTAACGATTCATCTATTATTTCTTTATTTTTATAAAAGATTTAAAATCATGTATACAAAATTTAATAAAAAATAATTATTTTTAATTTATACGGAAATAAAATGCCTTTTTTATAAGGAACAGAATTTTTTATAGGTCTCTGTTCTTCGATTACTATCAGAATATATGAAATACCATATTTAGCTAAAATTGTTTTCATATTGTCACATTCGCGACAATGATAATCGTTCATACATGTACATTTTGTACACCTGCTTCTCTACATCTTTCTTTAATGATTTACACTTGTGCTACGCAGACAATATCTAAGCATTGTCAAAGAATGCTATAATGATTGCGTGACGTGTAATGGTGTGTATGAGAGCTTATATGGCACGATAATTCGATGAACGGAAGGTAAAGTTGGTATAGGATTGCTTAACAATTGCTTGGAAACTTTTCATCTCCTTCGATTATCGAGACGAAGGTTATACTTGACGTTGGGACACGTCACAAATTGCGAACTTTCTTTTCTCTATCCTCGACACTGCAATCTCTGCTAATCTTTCTGTTTTCTCCAGAGAAAAACCGACAGATATTGCCGCCGTACCTTCTTGTGTCGCTTTTTGTTAACTCATGTGCTTATTCAGTCATATGCTAACGTAACAACTCGGTTATTGCAGATAATTATATGAAATGATTATATGAGATAAAGCTATATGATTAAATGAATTCAATATCCCAATCAATATCATCATTTTGATCTTACCGATCCAGAACAAGCGTAGCCGCATGTTTGCTGGCGCTAGCACCCTCAAATGGGCGAATCTGAAAGATAAATACAATCATCGATTAATTTATTCTATATCTAATTAGTACACAAAAATGTTGAGAAAAATAATAAATTGTATTTAATCGTCCGTAGCAATTTATAAATTTTATGCTGTGCATATATGTATACATATGTATATGTCACAAGTAAATTTTATCCGAGATACATCTTGGTATTCATATAAAAATATTTTTTATTTTATATGTGTTATATATAATATTTCTATCAAAAATGTACTATCATACAGTGATTTTTAATATCTCATTATATATAAAACAAATAAAATAATAAAAAGTAATAAAATTAAATCCTAATACTTTTGTATTACTTGTCAAGTTGTTTAATTTTTTATATAAAAATTAAGCAACTATCAAAATAGAAAAAGAAAGCAAAAAAGTTTAAAGAATTAAAATTTACAAATGTACTTTTCTATACACGTATAGAGACAAAAAGAGAGAGAAATTTTGATTTCGATATATCAATGCAAATTTAATAATATAAAAATATTATCACAACAGTACTAAAAGGCAAAAATTTAGATCATTTATGTTATCATGTTGCGACTTTATGCTCATATATCGACTTTCGGAAGTATTTACATCTTCTGCTACTATAACTCACGTCGCCTGTTTCTGTATTCTATATACGCGGTCTTCAGGGGTTGATGTATTAAATATGTTTACAAGATAGAAGATACAGAAGATGTAACTTCAAAAGATACGCTCGAATGGAAATCACTGACCGTACTACTTTAACACATTGCAATCGTTCCTTGTCCGATCCCCCTCGTGCATTGCGCATGGAGGTACGGAACCTTCGTCGGGTCATTCGTGCGTGTTATCGGTGCCACGTTGAGATACGCGCACATAGATAGAAAAAATGTGATACCGATCTCGGTACCTAAAGCGAACACTGACTCGGATCCGAAAAAGGATCCAATTTGTGCGACAGACGCGCAAGAACTCGCGGAATCGGGACAGACAAAAACGCGATCGCCGTGTCTTAGGGGGATGAAATGGTGTCGTGTGCAGACTCACCCAACCGATCCGTACGTACAAAACACACCGCAGTGCTGAGGTAAGTCGAGACAGTGACTGATGGTGGAAGTAACTTCGTCGGCATATATATCCTTGGATAGCACCCCGAGTGCTGATACGCCCCCACCAGGGATGCTCCGGCGCTCATCCTTCGACCTCCTCCAGATTGAGCCCCCTTTTTTCCTCTGTTCCTCGGGATGCGAGGTGGGGAACCACGCGAAACCGCGAATAGCGATGGGATTGATCCTTTCGCGCAGGTCGTCTGTACTTCTGGAAATCATAGGAAAGACGAGAACGTTACCTCCGCACTCTTTGACCTTTCGCTCATCAAATTTTAAGAGAAGTGTATCATATAATTTCTCGTTACTTTATTATAATGTAAGACTTGCTCAATCGATTTAGGTATTAATAAGAAGAGAATCTAAATCTAAGATGCGACATCTTTTTTGTCGTTATTAATAAAATTAAATAAAAATTTTTATGGATCCTTTACAAATCCTATATACACAAAATTCTAGTAATAATTTATAAGACACACATATATAGATATTTATTAATCATTTAATTAATCATTTAATTTAAATTGTATAATACACATATTTTTATATATAATTATGTAAGTAATTTATAATAAAGAATGAGAACGATGCCTAAAATAAGAATGTCGGATATGATCCGGACTTCTTCGAACTCCCAATGATTATCTAAAGTAAATATTGGCAGATTCGATCTGTAATAGCGGGGATGGATCTAGCGCGAGCTCATCACTATCCATAAGCAGTACGCCATCCGTGGAACGACCTCACGACGTAAGTGACCCGCTGCGGGACCGAAGGAGGCCTCCTCTAGAGGGGGGTCCTGAACGGGGAATCTCGCGAAGATGAGCAGCTCGTGGGAGGCCGGGGTTAGTGAAAGTGAAATACTGCAAGTAGAGTAACGTCTACTGGAGTGCCGTGTATTTCACGTTGCTCTAACCGGCAGTGAGGATGTCTTAGAAGAAGAAAATCGAGAAGATCGTGAGGATGTCTTTGCATCTCGATTCATTTGTTTGCCTAAGTAAAAAAGATGCACATCACTATCGTGATTACTTTGTAATTAGAACTCGACCAGAATTTACATTTTGTCTCTCTTTTATTAATAGATAAATAAATAAATCAAACAAGATGTAAAGAAATAGAAAGAGAGAGAGAGAGAGAGAGAAATTATATCATTAAAAATATGTTGTTCTCTTTCTCTCTTTTTTACTTTTTTTAAGAATATTTTTTCTGCAAATTTCTGATAAAACTGTGAAAAATTGTCATCAGTATAATGGACCGTAATCTTTGAAAACAGAGTTAAGAATAATTTTTTCAACTATGCTCACCAATTTATGTATTATATTAATGTAATATCTCTGGGAATAAATTAAACATACAATATTATAAATTTTTAATGTTATATTAAATATGTATAATCAAAATTATATTAAAATTTATATTATGTTTTTATGTTATCTATTCTTCGAAATGAGATTGCCATTAAATATAAAACAAGATTAATAAAATCTAAAAATTATTGTGCGAAATAAAATACAAAGATTTTATAAAAAAGGAAAGACTTTTGCAAACTTCCTTTTTCATTTATTACTAACTTATACAATAATATTTTTAAAAATTTTATTGTGATCCATAAATAGTTGCTGAAATAATTGTATACGTAAAGCTGTTATGATTGTTCTTACCTCTGAACTTTTGCCTCTCTGATCAAAGAGAGATGTGTTCCCTAATAAATAATACATGATATCGGAAAAACTGTAGAGAGAATAATACCCTTCGACATAGAAGAGATCACAAACGCTCTTGCAACCTAAAGAGTCTTTTGCTTTGTTTTCCATTCGAGATGTCGAGGCTATCCTCCAAGAAATCATTAGAAGGGCAGTAGAATAGATCACACTATTTTTTTCAGACTTTGTAATGAGAAGAGAAAAGGGCAAGTCAAATTTAATAGTAAATTTAGAACACCTTGCGCAAAATGTGCTAAGAGTTTCTATCACATGATTAAGAAAGAAAATTAATTAAAAATTAAACACACAAATCTCTTAAACAAGAACTAATTAGAAAAGATTTATATATATATATACTATTTATTTAAAAAATATATAATAATTTAAAGCAATTATCTTATGCATGTATATATACATGTTTATCTTGAATCGATGATCGGTTCAATTTATTATTATCTCTTCGACGAATTTTTAAAAGACCTTTTGTTCGGCTAATCTCTCATATGGCCTCCCCGCAGGATGACGTAGCGCGCTCCGTCGCCGTCAAAGGATCGGGCGCTTCGTTTCAAATTCATAATCGGCTTGTATCATCGCGTAATCATCATCGGACGTTCGTAGTGACACGACGTGTCTTCGCATGTCTTCCTCTTCGGGGCTTTCACCGCTCGCGCTGATGAGTGCGAGTTACTGCATCGTGCGTGGGCGGCATAAAGGCGCGTATCTCACACGTCGGTGAGACAAAAGCGGGTATCAATATCGATAGCGCTTCTCGCGAGCGCGCGCGCGATCCTACGTAATCCCCGTATATGGTCCGATTTATTCTCTTAATCTCCTCGTATATAATGCCATTCACGTACGTGTTGACATCGAGTTAGCAGAGATCAGGATCGGCGAGTTCTGTAACGATGGCATCTCGATAGCTATTTGCTAACTTATCTTACACGGATGAGGATAGGATTTCAGTTTACAAAACCTCGAGGGTTCTAGATGCGAGCCCCTGATGCAAATATCCCCGCTCGCCCCTCCAACTCCACGATTCCTTGCCTGTACTATAAAAAGCAGTTTAGTTGCATTGAATGTTACACCATCATCAAGTGCTTGTAACTAAAATTACTTTATGAAACAGGTAGTAAATTTAGAAATTAGTTTATATAATAATCTACTTAATACTAATCCTGCTCTTAATCATTAGGACTATCACACATGATGGAAAACTGTTAAACAAAAATTACTATTCTATTTAAGCTTTAGAATTATGTTTAGAATTTTAAAATTGTTGTCTTATATATAGCGCTTTTTTAAACTCACGTTGAAATAAAACTTAAAATTAATCTTAAAATCTGAATATGTGAGGAGTATTATTTTCATTTTTATTAAACAGTAAAGCTTGCGATATTCATCAATGATCCGAGAGTCTAGTATAGAAAGGCTCCAATCATATTAGCTAGGTCGTCTTTTCTAAGATCCATCAGCAATTTAATACGATTGCGATAATCACTTACGCATTGCAAAATCATCCATTCCTCTAGAACTAATCGTTAATGAAGTCTAGCAATTGGTTGTATCAGAACTCATCTATTTCATGAATATTTTAAGAATTCTTTTACATTTGTGACATATGATTATAATAAATAGTTTTAATGTCATAAAACAAAAAATTGATTACCATTATTATAATTTATTGCAATAGTATCCAATGCATTCGTCACTCGCCGCTGTGACGAATAAGATCTTATTGTGGCAAGTATATGAATATATATANNNNATATGAATTAATTTTAATTTTTAAATTATATTTACATACATACAGATAAAACATGTACATAATATGTTTACAGTTTTCATAGCAAAAAGAAATGTCATCTCAGGAGAAAGAAAAAAACATTTTCAAACAAATATTACATTTAAAAAAATAATCTTTGTTTGTGACATTATTTTTATTAATATTTATATTTCGTTAATAAAAATTTTTTATTAATAATAAATTATTGAAAATATTAAATTTTTATAACGTATCTTTTCCTTAATATGTGTCTTGTGATAATATGGGGAATACGGAAAAAGGAAATCTATAAGTGTAGTTAGAATGGAATTTCTATATAACACTTCTCATATATGATGCTCCTTCGTGATAATTACATCAAATTTGTTCTCACGCGCGCGAGACTTCAGTCGTGCTTTCCGCGCTGCACTTGG